TTGTTCACTACGAAGCCTCTGACTATTTTCTTTTTTTTGTGGCCTCGCAACGCACGCAGGGAAGCCAGTACATCTTCGAGGAGAAGGTGATGGCGGTCGACAACGCGCCCCCCCTCGTGGTGATCGGGATGGAGGGGCTCTGGGGCACCCTCATCATGCTTGTCATCTTCCCGATCGCCGCTGCCCTGCCCGGCAGAGACTTGGGCTCCATCGAGAACACGCAGGACTCGTTCTACATGGTCTCGCAGAGCAACACCATCCAGGTAAGGTGCTGCTGTGGTAACCTACCTAGCCCCGTCTTCTTTATGTTGACGCTATGCCTTGTGTTTACTTGGAGGCAAGGTGGCGGTAGTGTGTGTGTGTGTGTGACAGATGATGCTCCCCTCATGCTAATGGTGTAGACAAAGAAGTGTAGCAAGTTGTTTCTTCTTATTTTTTTTCTCTGCGGTGTGTTCTCGGAGAAACGGTGCTGGTCAGCCAAGAGAAGAGAAGAGAGTGCTGCCTCGCTAGGCCCTCTTTCGGGTTTTTGTTTGCCGCGGGCTGTTCATTTTCGGGAGAGAGGGAGGGGAGGGGGAGAGTGCCCCCCTGGGAAAGAAAATGCCTCTCTGTCTAAAGCTCTCTTGGATGATTGGTGCGGGGGTGTTATTGTCCCAATGGAAAAGAAATACGCCTCTCTCTTTTTTGTTGTCTGTCGCCGTCTGGTGTTTGTGGCTTTCGTTCAAGACGTCTCGCACCTCTTTCTCTCTCTCTCTCTCTCTCTCTCTTCCTACCTTGTTGGTTTTTGGGGCGCCGGGAGGGAAAAAAACGCTGGCTACAGCAGTAGGCCTTTCGATCGCGCACAGTTTGTGTTCGAAGTTGTGCATACTGGAAGGATGTAGTGCAACAGAAGTATGTAGCTCTCCCTCTTGTAGATGCCTTCGCGTTGGTCTTGAATCGGGCAGTGTTGTGGGGACCACGAATCTCGTTCGAAAATGAAAGGCGTGATGACGTCACCAACTCGGAGCGCCTCTTTCGCATGGCCTTAAATTAAAACTCACGGCAGTTACTGTTTTACTGTTTTTATTGTTTTTCGTTGTCTTTCCATGTGTGCCCTGCTCCACCTGACCGTCGCACGATGGCTCTGTTGTGTAACAGCTGATGCTGCTCATCTTCTTCGTGACTATCACCACGTACAACATCTTCTGCATCTACGTCACGGCCTACCTCAGGTGATGCGCACAGGAATTGAGTGTTTCATGGGTTCGTTTAGACCGACGTTACGTGCGTCTTTATTGTGTGTAGTTTTGATGTTTTTTAGACATGAGCAAGAATAGCAAGAACGGTTGACCATAACCTCGTGTGGTATTTTTGGGCGGGTGTTGGGTCTGTGCTTCGGTCGAACGCCCACACGCACCAGGCTCTCTGCTGGGAGGGCGGGGGGGTCGGGGGGTCGAAAGACGAAGCATGGAATGGCGGAACAATCGCTGCTTGGTTACCGTGACCCTTTGCCAAAACTCTCGTCTCTGAATGACCGGTTCAAGGGTGTGCAGGGCGGGCACAGATCGGAATTATTTTCTTTTGGTACAACTGCGGTAGCGATGCCTTTGGTTTCGTGGCTTTTTTCATCTACCAGTAGAGTTCCGTGATGGACAAATACCCCCCTTGCGTGACCCTCCCCCCCTCCCAATCCCCCCTTCGCACTCCCAGGCCTCTCTTACTGTTTTTCAACGCCTCCTGTCCCTTGTCCTGGCCCCCCTCCCCTCGGCATAACTCCCAAAACTGTATCGTCGAACTCCGCATATATTCCTGCGCGCCCATCACATGATGCAAACACGCCCATCTGCCATGCCTGGATTTTTACTCTTCCTTCTTCAGCGCGATTTGGCACGCCATCCTTGATAACTTCCGGCCCGTGAGCGTGTGGAGCACGGACCTGGTTATCTACTACATGATCACCAACGGCAGTTTCGGCGAGGCGTGGACGCAGTACTCGTGGCTGCAGTTCTCCGGCATGATGGTGAGGGAGGAGTAAAGGGGAGCGGGGTTCGTGTTGTTGTTGTTGTTGTTGTTGTGGTTGTGGGTCGTGACGTTGTTGTCGTCGTCGTCGTCGTCGCTGTTGTTGTTGCTGTTGTTAATTGTTGTTGTGTAGTTGTTGATGTTTTGTGTCACACAACGCATCCTACCCGTTTGCATGCAGCCCCCCCGCACATAATGTACAAATCGTCAGTACCTTACAGAACACCCCAATGTCTGTCGGCAACGCCATCTCTCTGCGTCGTAGTAAGAGCAGAAGAGCGACTTCCTCTCCCTCTCCCTCAGGCCAAAGCCCCCCCCCGCCCCGCCATCGGCGATCAGTCTTGTTCCGTCTTCTTGGTCAACAGTCTAACCGCTAAGGGATGCAAAAGATAGGAGTACGCCCCCCCCCCTCTCTCTGCTCCACGCCAGGCTTTCTTTGCCGATCGATGTGCTTGCTTGTCAGCATCAGGAACAAAGATGCAGAAATATAATACTTAACTTATTATTATATGGACGAATGAATGTCTCCCCTG